AGGCCAGCCACCTGATTGCAGCCTGCTGCGAGTCGGAGCACCAGCGAAGCGGCTGGTGTAGCTTACTCAAATGAAGGGCACTCTACATGAATGCATGGAGAAGTTAAATAGTTCTCCTCTTCCCAGTATATGAAGGAAAGAATAAGGTTTATCCCACACAAGAATGACTACCCAAATAGCTAATTTAGGCTGGAAATCAATGGCAGCTTCTAACTGTCAAAGGAGTGATATTTTGAAAAAATTTCCCAATAATGGCAACACAGGATCTTCCCTCACCAGTCTTTGCCTTTGAGATACCATGGTAGGAATACTGAAACAGCAAGAAAGATCGCCTGGTTCTGCTGGCTGCATTTCCAGCTTCGCACCTCTGCTTTCTCACAGAATCACACGTATTTAATCTCGTCAAAAATGTGGCCGTTTCCATGCCTGCACACCACACAGCATGTCTACAGCTTTCTGCAAGATGGGGAGTAAGCGATGGGGAGGGAGGGATGAGCATCTTCACGTTCTCCACCTTCTTCCCAAATCTCAGATCTCGCTGAAGTAGACGTGAGTGCTATCAACCATGCTGGAATTTACAAAGTGCTGGGCATATCAACCTGACAGCTCCAGTTCAGGCACTTTTTCCCAGCTGTAACACATGAAACATGTCGTATCTCCTAAATCCAGAGATTAACTATAAGCCACAGAAGGGCGTGTGTTAAATAGCAGCTTTACACCACATCCCTCATCAAGCAGATAACCGTAAACGGACTCAGCTCTACCAACCACAGCATGAATTAGCAAAGCGTAGCTGTGAGGGTAAGAGGCATCCGAATCTCTCAAACAAGGAAAGAAACCAGAAACTAAAAGCAAAGACCCTGGAGACTTCGGAACAGGGCACAGGTTTTAAACAGCTCAAACATTATGAAGGCAGACGTGCCAAATTTTGGAAATTAATAGCACGAAACACGACTAATTGCTGCCTCAAGCTGTTCTGCAGGTTCCAGCCCACCGGTAACCGCTTGCCCTGCTCACCGCGGGCAGGAAGACGCGTTTGTGCCACGCAAAGGGGCACTGTGAGCAGGTCCCCAAGCAACCACCGCCCAGTCAGTAGCGGAGGCTGTAAGAAACAGCACCAGAAGCAATACAGTGAGATTTAAACTCTGGAGCCGGTGATGCCACCAAAGCCCATTCTGTGAAGGGGCTCTACAGGCACCCCAGTGGATGGATGCAGAAACGGTCAGCAGAAGCGCGCTAAGAGGCAGCGTGTGAAGCCCACCCACCAACCGGTAACTCTGGAGACCAGGGGTTCTGCTGAATCCCCCAGAGCTGATAAACTGAGAACACCCAGGGCCTGATAAATCCGTACACGGCCACGAGCACGCACGAGTATGAAGGTTACCTTGAGGCTGTATAACTTGGACTACATCCAGGAAGGTGGTGGCAGCTATATATTGATGAACGCTACAGTGTCACACACATACTTACATTTTTATATATATATGCACACAGGTATCTGACGAAAATGGGTCTCCTAAGTGACTTTCTGAACACCGACCTTGAAGGTACTGGCATGTCAGTATGACCCTTCCCTTGGAGTAAACTGCTGTGACTCCAAACAAGTAACTACGAATGACTGTGCGTGGCAAGGCAACACCTGAGGGTACTACTGTGTGTACTGTGTACGGTTATCGGCCATTAATAGTAACATCTCGATGCTACTAATAAAAACAGTTTAACAAATAAAAGTTGTTCTAGCAAATACTGGTTGTGATCTGTGTCTCCTCCCGACCTACTGCCCTCTCAGGGAAACAATTCGCCTCATTCATGCTAGAAACGCTTCACTGTTCTCCGAGTTAGCTTGGTCAGCAAGACCTTGAAGATCCACTGCAGCCGGCTGCAACGTGCGGTACAGACAAGAGTCGCCCTGTCTGTGTGCAAATACATCAACGGGGCTGGGAAAGGGAGTAAAATGCCAACAGGACTGAAAAAAAATGGAAACAGAGACACTATCTTCACAGGGCCTGTTCACAAGGGATCCATTCAACAGGCAGCCAGCGGCACTTTCAGCTGTGCATCCCTCACCCACACCCGCTTTGCACAGCGGCCATACAGCGTTCTTGTGGGTGGCAATCACAGCTGTGAGCAGCAGAGAACCAAAGTACAGTTGCAACAACAACAGCCGCCAGTGTGACTAATGAGAACACCATTTGGGACATCAGGCTGGCTGCAGACAGCGATAAGTCCCGACCTGACAGCACAGCAGTCTCCAAAAGAGATTACTGTCTCCAGGATCACCATATAATCACTGAACTAAAATCTGGCTTTAACAGAACAAATTCGAAAGCAAATAAACCTGAGTTGTACTGGCTGGACGTATTCCTTGCGAAATCGCTTCAGGTCTGCTCTGATGGGCTGCTCCCCTTTCTCGATCGCCAGCCTGTCTGCTTCGGTAGGTTCAGGCTCTGGGATTTCAAACCTACGAATAAAAGCACCAAAAAACTGATGGCAATTAAGATAAAACACAAACCCCCTATGTAGGGCATGAAGAGCAACTGCCTTTAAAAAAATCCAGCGCAGCAAAACTCAAGCACTCATCTCATATCCAGTTTGCCTGGAATTCCCTCCTCCCCTGGCTCTGCACCGCTAACACGCCCAGCTCTCGCCCTGGTAATTCGCCGGTTCTCTGGTCATCCCAAGATGTCTAGACTAGGATATAAGGTTTTTAACTACCTGCTATAGCTTGATTAAGTGAAGATTAGAAGCAAGCTTAAGAGCAGCTTTATTACACCGTGTTAAAATGCTGTTTACAGGAAGAGTCCGTGCCTTTCACACAAACTGCTCAGAACACGGCCGTTCTTGCTCGTATCGAGACGTGGGCATCCTCAAATACACTCTCAGGATCAAGCTAAGCAGTTCACAACATTACCACCCCGCAGCTGCGGCACGCCAAGTGCTCTAGCTAATACTTAATTCAGGTAACTAATTTAACAAACTGGGAAAAAGCAGCTTGCATTAAGAACTGGCATCGCTGTAGCCTGTTTTAAAAGCTGCTGTTTTGTGAGCTTCCCTACAACACGTGCCACACGGCAGGGAGAACCCGAGCAGAAAAGGAGCGGGTGAATGAACACAAAGCCTGTCCACGTCTTCAGACAGGATGAGCACTACTTACCTTTCAATCAGTAAACTCAGCAGTTCCTGGGGCCTGCAAAACGAGCGGTACGTGGTAAGGAAAGTCCGTACAAAATTAGGATCTGTAAAGGAATAAGAAAATGATGAAGTGTTTTCTTATCCAGTTGCAAAATATCAGACATAAAATGCACATATACTCAGAGACAAAGTTTAAAGTGCAGAAAATACACTAAGGTTGTAAGTCAAGCGCTGTAATTTGAAAAATGCCAGAAATCATACTGCTTGTGAAACTTCCATTTAGTCCTTTGATGCACTTCCCCTGCAGAAGAAGTATTCAACTGCTCATATTTTGGTCTCAGAACCTCTGTCTCTGTCTTGGCACGCGGAGCGGCTTACACTATTCAAGATATTCAAGCCCCACCTGGACAAGGTCCTGTGCAGCCTGCTGTAGGTGACCCTGCTTGGGCAGGGGGTTGGACTGGGTGACCCACAGAGGTCCCTTCTAACCCCTGCCATGCTGGGATTCTGTGATTCAGTGATACACTCCCTGAATACGCAGCTATGCCACAGCTTCATAAAGACAAAGAAAACACGGTAGAACTCGGCTGTCTACTCTCTTGACATCAAAAATACCTAGGCCACCCTGACAAAACCTTTGTCTTACCCGTTCTTCAAAATGTCTCCAGCAGTGGGGACGGGACGCCTGCCCAGCTGCGGCACACCACCGCCTCTGCAGAGCAGCCAGACGGGGAAACGGGACGGGGCCTGACAAAGCAAATACCTGCGGCAGCTCGAGACGCTGCCTCTCCCCAAGCCACCACACCTCCCTCCTGCTGCTGCTCACCACCACGGTAGGTGTGTTCCCACCAGACGTGCCCAGCTGCAAGCTGCCACGCGTTTTACGGGGCCACCTCTGCTGTATCGGAAGTATGAAAGGAACAGTATTGTTCCTTGAGTCTCTTTTAATGCCACTGTCTTGTACGGAGTTTCTCGGATCGTGAATAAGCGAGCTGACAACCAAATCACTTTACTGTGAGCCACGGAGCGTCACCATCTGGTCCCAACGCTGGCAGCCCCGCAGCAGACCCCCTCACAAGCGTACCAGGGCGAGAGGCTGCTGCTGTGCCGTACGCAGCAGCTTCCAGAGCTGCCCGGGAGCAAACCAGTGACCTGGCCGAGGCCTTCTGCGAACGCAGAGCCCGTGCGCTGCAGCGAAGCCTGCTTCAAACGCACCTGGAGCTAACGCAAGCCTGCAATGACTGACAGGTTAAAAAAAAAAAAATGGCACCTTGACCTAAACGCAAACAAGCAGCACCACCAAGATCTGCTGAGAGTCCCTCCACATGCCGTTAGTCATCGAAATGCCCTTGCGGAGGCTGCGGGAGAGGATTTGGTTAGCCTTGGCTCCAAACACCGCTCGGAAAAAGCACGCCGAAACCCAAGAGGCAACGCTTTCGCTGAGGGTTCCCGAGGCCAAAGGGGTGAATACCTGTGCTACAAAAACCGAAGTTACGCCAGCGAGCTACCACTCAACGACACCAGCTCATTCAGGGAACGAGCGAGGTTCACCAGCCACCGAAAGCCATCGTGTTTCAGACACGGATGACTCGGGGCTCGCAGGCAACACAGCCACGGAGCGCTGGCACACCAGTTACCCGCACCAACACTGAGCTTCAGTGTGGGAAACACTAGTGTTTATTTTCTTTAATACACAGCTCCACGCTATCTAGTCTTAAGTTCTACAAAAAAAGGGTTAAATATCGCTCAAATACCAAGCGGTTTTGTAAAAAGCACAAAGGAGACCATCACTGTCTGAGAAGTTTTACAAAACCCGCGCACCATTTCCACCAGCATCCTCACGCCAGCTTCACTGCGTCCCCTTCAAGCGCATGCTTTCCACCCCAAGTTAAGATCAAGCATTTTCATCAACGTCAGCACATCACGCAGCTCCTTCAAGGTTTCATTTCTGTGGCTTTAAGACAGTATTTCACAGGAAAGTCTGAAAAATGCCGACTGTAGTTCGCATCCTTTTCTACCGAGGGACTTCACCAAGCGGCAGGTCGAAGTGCAATAAATACACCCTCCAACCTTTTCCTTCCTCCACGGTCACACAGCCCGTAACAGCATCACTGCTTTGGCCATGACGGCCTTGGGACACACATCAGGCTCCTATTAGACCACTGATACTTTTAATTTTTTTTGAGGGGGGCGGGGTGGGGGGGGATGGGAGATGAGGGGCTTGCGTACCCCACCTTTTCTTAAAGCTTTGCCAGAAAAGCCAGTTGATTTAATAACAGATACTGTTTTGGTTTTTTTCCTGCAAACCTTGCTTTACATTCAACTATATGCAGGAAAAAAAACCAAACAGAAGATAAACGGATTCATTTCACCACCCACAAAGCATGACCTTAAACTATAGATACATAACAAATGTACAGGATACCTGCATACATATGGTAGGTCAACCTCTCGATGAGTTTCACAACCGTTCCTCCTTTGATGATGGGAATGCCGTTCCGGCTTTGCAAGTTGTCCTCAAAAACGATGTTCTCCTCCGAGTCTTCCACCACGAAGCGATAGGCGCTCGGGCTGGGCAGCCTCAGGGGCTGCTCGTTTTCTTCCTGCAGCAACACCGAATCGAGCATCCTATCCAGAGTGCTGCGATACTGGAGGGAAATCAGCGCGGCCATCCAGTTACTCTTCTCTTCAGCAGACTTGGCGGCAAACAGGATACTGTTTTCGTCTTTAGACACCAGTTCAAACGCGTGTTTGTATTCAGGTGTGTCATCTTTATCAATAATCTGTATTTTCCTCATGAGAATTTTTTCCTTCAGTCTGTACTCCGCATTGCTGTACCCGGGCAGCCGTGACTGGCCGTGGTTCGTTTTGCAGCTGATCATTAAACCGTCAAAGAGAAAGATGTGGCGTTCATGTTTGGCTCCTATTTTCGTCAAGCCACCTTCCATGATGAATTCATTACAGCATTGCCCGATATCTTTGCCTTCCCAGCCATCAATATTTTTCTGGATTTCATTCATTTTCTTGATGGCCAAGTGCTTGCTTCTTATTTGCCGGTTATAGAAGCGACAGACTGGCTCCCTTGAAGGAATAAGAGAAAAAGTCACGATGGGCACATTCCGCATTCACCATCCCAAGAGACCGAAAAAAAAAATCAACTAAAAGAACATCTCCCCTACGAGGAGAGGCTGAGGGAGCTGGGCTTGTTCAGCCTGAAGAAGAGAAGGCTGCGAGGGGACCTTATAAATGCTTACAAATATCTGAAGGGTGGGTGTCAGGAGGATGGGGCCAGACTCTTTCCAGTGGTGCCCAGCGACAGGACAAGGGGCAATGGGCACAAACTGAAGCATAGGAAGTTCCGTCTGAACATGAGGAAGAACTTCTTCCCTCTGAGGGTGACGGAGCACTGGAACAGGCTGCCCAGGGAGGTTGTGGAGTCTCCTTCTCTGGAGATAT